CACACTAATGTATCCCAGTTGAAATTGCTATTAAAAATCCGAAATTTATATCAATTATCGATAACGTCATCGTTCTTCAATTACCCTCAGATCCCCGAGACCCTATTGGTATATATAATGGTTACGAAAATTTGCCTATGGCCGGCTAGTAGATATTTCGTCAGTATTTCAAATGCGATATACAGTCGTCGAGCTGCGTTGAGCGCATCATTAATTCTTGAATTCAGCGTGTGGAATATCTATCCACATCCGTCAGTTCCGTCAAGTTCCATCACGGAATCGCGACGCATGTAGGGGTGGACCTGGATGAACCGCAAGCCGAACGGCTGTAGGCAGGTGTAAGTTGGAGAGGAGAGGAGAGTGACGCGAGCGTTACTTGAATTGAACCCGGCTTCGTAACCGACAGTTGTTCCGATCGATTTCATTCGTCGACGCGACGCGGAAGCTTCGTCGTCGCTTGTTCGCTCCACTATGGAAGCCCTAATACCTGTGATAAACAAACTGCAGGACGTGTTTAACACCGTCGGTGCTACCGTACTACAACTGCCGCAGATCGTCGTCTTGGGCACGCAGGTTAGCCGGAGTATCTGTTCGGCCCGCAGTCACTTGACACCAAACCGAAAACAGCAAATGGCAAATCCGCCCCTTTCATCTGGACTTTGTTACCTTCTCCGATTTTCAAGGTTAAACAAATGCGCGATCGAAATCTCTATCCGATAGGAGAGAAAATTGCGAGAAGGTGCAACCGAAAGGAACGGATCTAACATTGGTTAACCGACATTTGAATTTTCTTTGTTCTATTGTCATATTGTTTTTCTTTGTCATGAAAAACGTAATGGTTATCTGTTAATGATAAGCTGTTTGCTATCCATTAATGTTGTAGTAAGAAAAAATAATACTATATTTTGCAATGCATGAATCATACACTTAGGTATATCATATTTACCTTTGTGTAATCAGTCGACAGGCAAAATCATAATATTGTGATGTGACTTTGGTGTACAATCTCAAAGGAATTCTGATCCTCGGCCAATATTCATAGTCAGTTTTTATATGTAAGACAGTCGTTAAGTACAGTCTTGAGATATCGTAAGTTAATCACAGAGCCGTATTAATTATTTAAAATTACTACATTAAAACTATATTAAAATAATAACTATGAATACCGGTCTTAGATCTGGCGTCTTATTCTGGAAAAATATTGTATACGAAAATATTAGTGAAATTTATAATATACAAAACATATACTATAATATTTTCATATATTTTCATAAGCAATATTTTTTGAGAATACAGCTTTTGTTCTTTTTAGATAAATTTATTGTACCATTCATTTTTCCTCTTTCTTGCTCTGTTGGAGAGAAAAGGACATAATAGAGGGTGCAAAAGTTTAGCTGAAAAAAAGAACCCACATACTCTTGATGAAGAGTCAAAATCGAATAAGATCTATTGTTGGATATATATGGAATAAGAGCAAATACTGAATTTTTCAGAGTTCAGGAAAGTCGTCTGTAATAGAAAGCTTGGTGGGCCGTTCTTTCCTACCACGAGGGACTGGTATTGTCACACGACGTCCATTAATATTACAACTTGTATATACACCCAAAGATGATCGAGAACACAGAAGCGCAGAAAATGGCACTCTGGACTTGGAGGAATGGGGAATGTTTCTGCATACAAAGACCAAGATTTACAAAGATTTTGATGATATTCGTGCAGAGATTGAAGCAGAAACTGACAGAATGGCTGGAGCAAACAAAGGGATTTGTCCGGAACCAATTAATCTTAAAATATACTCGACATCTGTCGTTAATCTGACACTTATAGACCTACCTGGTATCACAAAAGTACCAGTAGGTGATCAGCCGGAGGACATTGAGTCTCAGATACGTGAGCTTGTATTAAAGTACATATGCAGTCCTAACTCTATAATTTTAGCAGTTGTCACTGCCAATACTGACATGGCTACAAGTGAGAGTTTGAAGCTCAGCAAAGACGTTGATCCAGATGGCAGACGAACGCTGGCAGTTGTTACAAAATTAGATCTCATGGATGCTGGTAAATTTACTTTTTCATCTTTCTTGATATCTTTACATTCTCTCTTCAAATTTGTCAAAAAGCATAGGATCGATTGTAACAACAATTATTAAATACATTTTTTTTTCTTTTTAAGGAACTGATGCCATAGATATTCTATGTGGTAGGGTCATCCCAGTTAAATTGGGTATTATAGGTGTAGTTAATCGTTCTCAGCAAGACATAATGAATAACAAAAGTATTCAGGAAGCGTTGAAGGATGAAGCCACATTCTTGCAACGTAAATATCCAACGTTGGCTAACAGAAATGGCACTCCATACTTAGCAAAAACTCTTAATCGTTTGCTTATGCAACATATTAGGGATTGTTTACCAGAGTTGAAGGTAATAATATTAATAACAGAATTGAATTACAGGAGAGATGTAGCTAGAATCTACTAAAGTAAGCATAATTTGGTAGAACTTGTGTTTTTTTAAAACAGAACAGAGTGAACACAATGGTAGCGCAATATCAAACCCTACTTAATTCTTATGGTGGGGATGTCGAGGACAAAAGTCAAACCTTGCTACAGATCATCACGAAATTTGCAAACAGCTATTGCGCTACGATAGAGGGAACGGCGAGGAACATAGAAACCACTGAATTATGCGGCGGTGCTCGCATTTGCTATATATTTCACGAGACGTTTGGTAAAACGCTCGATTCGATTAATCCATTGGCAGACCTCAGTAAATACGACATATTGACCGCTATTCGCAACGCAACTGGTCCGAGACCAGCTCTCTTTGTGCCAGAAGTCTCCTTTGAACTGCTAGTTAAACGGCAAATACGAAAATTGGAGGATCCTTCGTTACGATGCGTAGAACTTGTACACGAAGAAATGCAAAGTATAATACAGCATTGTGGCACTGAGGTGCAGCAGGAAATGCTGCGTTTCCCTAAACTGCATGAGCGTATCGTTGATGTCGTTACACAATTGCTACGTAGACGACTCCCACCTACCAATTCAATGGTAAACTAAAATATCCATTCTCTTTATGTATCCATAATTCGTTCCTTATACTCATATGATTTAATTTTTTTTAAAAAGGTAGAAAACTTGGTTGCCATAGAATTAGCGTACATTAACACTAAGCATCCCGACTTTCACAAAGATGCAGCATTTGTGTCATCTTTATTGAAGGATGCCGATGTAGATCACCTGAAGCACAATAAACGATTAACTTCAGCATCTAGTACTATAATCACCAATGATACGGTAAATAATCTCTATTTAATGTTCTTATTGAAATTTCTTTTGTGCATAACTCATTGAGAAAGTTACTGTGTTTCAAGGATAATTTAAATGTGATTAGCAACATTTATGTGTTCCTCAATTTATTCGTTATTTTATCCATTTCAACTTTTTTATGCTGTGTTTGCTATTAATAGTAAAATATATTTGTAACAGATTGTAAAATCAGTCAATAATCAAGATGAGATGAACTCTGTTTCTGATCAGACTAAGGAACAGCAAGGACAGCAAAATCATTGGCTGCTAAGTAACTTACTACTTCAGGGAAGAACGGAGTCAACAAGTTCCGCGGATGGTTCTCCGATCAGGATGCGTGAAAACAGTAACTCCCCAAATCCGAGCATGAATCCAATGATCGAACTACAGAAAGCATCCCCGCAACAGAAGCCAGTAAATCTACTTCCTGCGGTACCAATACAGACATCCCGAAAACTTAGTGATCGTGAGCAACGGGATTGTGATATTATCGGTAAAGAAATATATCATATTGAACATCATACACATTACGTTTATTCCACACTTGCGTAGGTTTAGTTCTAAGTGATTGTAGTTGTAAGAATTAACTAAACACAGTCGAATATTCTTCTTGTATTCGGCTGTGATTGATGAATTTTTATAACTACTTACGCTTACGCAATTGTAAACAGTCTTTATATTAACAGACTTCAATTTTAATTTTTTCTTGTTTGCAGAAAGACTCATAAGATCATACTTTTATATTGTTCGAAAGTCTATTCAGGATAGTGTACCAAAGGCTGTTATGCATTTCCTAGTCAACTTTGTGAAAGATAATTTACAAAGTGAACTTGTCACATATTTGTACAAATCAGATCAGGCTGAGGCCTTGTTGATCGAAAGTGAACACATTGCTGTTAGGCGTAAAGAAACAGCGGACATGCTTAAGGTATTTTTATTTGACATAAAAAGTTAAATATACGCTTCTTTATAATAATTGATCTCTAACAATTACTCTAATTTTGCAGGCATTGACTCAAGCAGGTCACATCATTAGTGAAATTAGAGAGACACACATGTGGTAATTGAATGCCTAAACCTTTATCACCGGATTCTAGTTGAATTTAGGTATTGCATCTCTGTGTTTTAATCAACTGGATGTACTTTACCAATGTATATGATGAATCATTGTATATAATTCTTGTCTTTCTCACGCAAGTAAGGTATCGCTATTGAAAAGCAATAGTCTTAATATGTTATGTCACCCAGTTTTATAGTATGAGCATGAAAGAGGCATAACATCGTACTTAAAATGCACATTTGTGCGCAACCGTCTTATTATTTGATTCACAAGAATTGTAATTCAGGTTCGCTCTTTTACTCGGCGTTAGATGTATATGCTGACTTATCGTACGAAAATCAATTAACTCTTGAATAGCTTGTTTTATATCACGCATTTTATCATGAGAATTATATGCTTCTTAATTATTTAGTCTAAACTTGCATTGTCTCAGGAACTGTTAACGAGAACGCAATTGAAAATTATTGTACCGTGTATTTTCCAGTTTTTTCTGATTGCATAATTTTTTTCCAATTTTTTTCAGAATAAAATACTGGATGTATCTATTCTTAATGGATTGTGTCGCGTTTTTTACAGAGCTGTAGAATAAACGTTGAAGTAATTATTTCAGTACTTTAAATAATTGTCATGAACCAACTAAGGGAGTACTAGACAGAAATAGAGCCAAGAGAATTGTAACACTGGACGATACATTGTTCTGTTTTGATACCTTCGATGTTCGGTTCAGTCAAGTGTTTGTTGACAAAGTCCGCGTGCTCGAATAGCAGAGGCATCGCGTCTTTATAATTTCCTTGATACATTTTTGCGATAGCGCTCAGTCTCTTTTGAATCGATTTACAAAGTTGCTTCTCGATTCTCTTTAAATCAACAATTTTCTCGCATTTGGTACACCGCTGATTCGTTGCATCTATTATCGAGAGATCTATCGGTTTCGAACACGCCGTGCACTTATAATTCATTATTTCTGGTAACGGAAATTTCCAGTTCCGTTTGCAGGCATCGCATCCGCATAGAAATCGATATTTCTTCCACAAGAACTCACATCTGTTCAATTTGCTCTCGCTGAGAAAATGAGGTCCATAACAATCGAATATCTCGCATCCTTTGCCGATGAAGCGCAGAGCTCTAACCACGACTATTCCTGTAAAGAGAATTATTAAAAACTTAGTTAATCTCTTTATTGTCTTCGTAAATTTGTACAATTTATTCGCTGATTGGATCGCTTACCGTTTGGATAAGAATGGCGAACCACGTTGGGATAACAGCTATGGTTCACGAGACTGACCGTGCTGTAAATCGCAGCACCGATATTTCTGGGCTCCCAGACGCGCGTTGCCTCGTCGTGGACATTCTCGATAATCTCGTATGCATTGCAATTAATTGCCTGCAAATGGTGCAACATAGCGACAGCTAATAAAACGAATGTTTCCGTTGTGCAAATGACGTCCAGTTTGTTCAATACAGAGATCAAGCATTTCGCAAGAAAAATCGCCTCAACGGTACGAATAAGATTTACGTGAGGTTCCATATCAGCGCAATGAGTCTTTAGTTGAAACACCGTTCGATAATCGAGAGGACTATACGTTCTCTTTGATCCCAAGTCCGCGCACTCCTTACTAATATCGTTATCTTTATCTTTTGCGTTATCATTAGCATGATATCGTAGAAAATCAGGATTCAAAACGCACGTCGTTTCTGTTCTGTTTCGTAGCGATAGCGCTTGTATAACCGTTGTGCGATAAGCTAGCAGGAGGTAAGACGATTGTTGTCGTTCGTTGTTCAACGAATTTTTGAAGAAGTGATTAAATACCGAACACTCGTATTGGTGATACGACTCCCACGCTTCCTTGCGACACACCTCTGTGCAAAAGGCCACCTGGAGAACGCGAGACAAGATTTATATTGAAAAATCTGTGGCGTATAAATTGCAGGAAGACACGAAAAGAAAAAGAAATAAATTAATATAGGAATTCTAACAGGCGAAGGTATGGATAATTACATCTGGCGCTATATACATGGCACGTCGTAGCATGCGCGAATATAAATCATGCGCTCTACTAACTGTTTGACAATTGCGGCATGGAATTCTAACGCTGTCTTCTAATTTAAGTGTGGCATGGCAATGCAAACAATTCCTGTCGAGAGCCGATGCGTCTGTGCTAAAGGAAAACGGCCGATCGACAATGAGTACAGTCCCCGGTTTGATGTCTCTTGTAGCCACGAGGTGTCGACCCCTGGTCTCATCGATCTGCATCTCAACGCTATCCGGGCAGCTCGCAAGACAGCTATGCGGCTTGCCGTCGACGGTGGGCGACGTGCCGCTGGAAGAAGAATGGGAAGAGGAGGAAGACGTCTTTCTACGGGTGCCGCGTTTCCTAGAGGACGAAGCTTCCAACTTTCGGAAGCATTCTCGCTCTAATTGAAGGCATTCCTTCCTACGCTGCACGAAGTATTTAACGTTCTCCGCAGAGTCGTCATAGAAACTCGCAGGAAGCGCCAGCATGCACTCGCAGTCTCGCAGGCAGCTCGCGTAAACGCGCATACTGTAGAAACGTCTAGCGCGCTCGCAGATCGCATCTAGAAACACTCTACCGTTTGCACTGGCCGCAAACAGTGCTTGGGTGAGAATATTACAGGTTCTAATCTCTGCGTGCTCATCCTTGGACTCTATTGCCGCCCTAACCGACTTCTCGTACAGCTGCGCGGCCTGCACGTCATTCTTACCCTCATACGAGTCGCCCGGTTTCAAGTTTGCCACGTAGGACATTTCGATAAGCATCCTGACCATTTCTTGTCTATCACCTGACGCGGATAGCCTCGCGAATTGAGTCACGAGCGATTCCTCTTGCGAGACAGTGTCGTGCATAACACGACGAAATTCGTCAAGCAAAATGTTTCTGAAACAAAATAGACGAATGATCAAAATAGTTTTTAATACTTCACTTGATATAAAATATTTAAAAGAAATGAGACTTTTCTACAATGCAATAAATGTAAATTCTTAATTCATTTTAAACCATCGACACTGTGGAAATAATATAATAAAACGAAAACAAAAAAGATAATAATGTCCATTTATATCATACATTCGATCCGAAGAAACAATTGTCTTTGCAGAAGCAAGAGTTTAATTTTGAGAATGAAATATAACGAAAATAATAATCTTCAGGGATTTCAATGTATTATGTATTATGTGCATCATGTCTAAAACGCAGTGCACTCATTATTTACTGGGAAAACTTGTTATCGAAAAAACATAGGAGATACTTGAAATTTCTCTATACATTAAATATTTTAAATTTCATTGCGAATACGTTTGTGTGAGTTAATGAGTGTTAATGTAATAGTATATAAAGTTGACGTGTCTGAAAATATGCGGATCAGTCGAACGTGCGACAGCGATTCCAATTTTATCACAAACAAGTCGCAAGCCACAAACGTGTTTCCATCATTTATCTAAATTTAACACACTGTAAATTTAATCGCGGACAGAAATAGACCATGAGCGACGAGTGCCCGTAGGATCACGGAAGCGAACATTCCGTTCGCAGAATTTGTCATTAGGCGGAGAACTGACCCGGTTTTGCAACAAGTAGCTTCAAACGAGAGACCAGATTTAGACGTTGATGGATTTTCTCTATTCCCGGTAGCCCGGGATCGAAAAGAAGCTGCTTACCCTTGTTTCGTCAGAGACATTCTCGCTAATTGTTATTGAGAGTGATCGATTGTGCGTTTAATATGAAACATCAGCAGGCTCTACTTCCTCGTTGCACGAACGGACGTGAATGCGACGAATTCTAAAATTAGGTGTATTCGTCTCCTCTTACGAAATGCGCCCGATGATTCCGTTTATATAAAATCAATCTCGCTCCTTCGCGCGTCGACAGAAACGTGCAAATCGATATTTGTTGGAACGATAATAGAAATAATAGATAGTATCGAATTTCTCTTATTTTTATAATATATATTATCATAATAACAAAAACTGCAGCAACTTTTGATAAATAGAAATGTAGTCGATACAGACTACATGTATACAATTGCATTTTCTTTTGCAATTATTTCGCAATACCAAAGTATAACTTTTAACAACTGAAGTAAATTTAAATTGAAAGTTTAAATTTATTTCAATTATTAAAGTAGGCGATCGTGTAACCAAATTTATCAATACTTGTAATTTTATTAATATTAATTAGAAATAGAATTTGTGTTGTTTAATATGTGGAAAAAATTAGATAAAGGACAACGAATGATATATTCATATTTCATAATATACGTGTATATATAATATATAATTTAAATGCTGGTTTAAATATTTAAAGCAAAATATTTTCAGTATAACTATTCATGTAATTCTGTACAATTGTATATATAATTCATCTCTAATTTTACTTTTTATTTTAAAAAAATTCTATTCACATCAATAAAATGGTATCACCTAAAAGTTAATTGGCAAGTAATTCAGCCGACCAAATTACAACAAAACTATACAATTATAGTCGTCTCTAACTTTTTCTCACATGTCTTAACGAAAAAATTAATATTTTCACCTGAAAATGTTGCAATTATTATTGCATAAATTAAGTGAGTTGTCTTAATCGTCGATTTAAGTTAATTGGTTTTTTATCAAAATTTCCATTAAAACGCGCGTAATTGCGTTCACTCGTTTTACTTGCCCCTTCTGTACTTGGGTGATATCTTTGCTCCTTGTCTTTTCAACGGCAATATATATGTCGTCCCGTTTTGGGTGCAGACTGCCAAAAAGGTGCAATACAGGTGAGACAAGATTATCGAATTTTCACTATGATTTCCCACTCCTGCCGCAGAAAAAAATCTCTAGCGGTTACTAGACTACGAGCAGTCGTCACATGACAGCGACGGGTGTGCGTGATCTTTTCGTGAGTTTCTCAATGTGAGGATTTGTTAGACAAAAAACGAAAGGACTACCGGGTTACTTGGCTTCTCCCCGGAGGGTCGGCTGTGCTTGAAGACCGCGGAATATTACATATATTACTTTTCTCGAAGCAAAGCTTATTGTTGTAACGATGAGGTATTATCTGGGTAACACATTCGCGATCACCGCCTCGGCGACGATCCTTATTTTGGGTATGCTTCACATTTATATTATAATATAACACGTTAGAGCTTCTTGTGCGTTTGATATTTTGCCGAAATATTCATATGTGATATGATTGCTAACAATCTCGTGAAATGCATCTCGTGAATTTATTTTACTGAATAATCTTCGAGTTGCATAAAAGATTTCGTATATATACATTTCTTTGATATAATATATTTTGTATTTATATATTTATATATTGTGTTTGTATTATGTATTTATATAGTATATAATATGTATGTTGCAGTTTTGTACTATGTATTTACTGGCAAAGGAGAGCAGGTTAGCGTTGGATGGTAAGTTTATATGTTTATTTTATGTCAGTGATTTCTCATCTTATTGAATTATTGGCACAAAAAGATCCTAAACAAAGTGTTTGATTTTCATTTAGGTTCTTGACGAATACTTCTCCATATATGTGGTGCACGTTGGGTATAGGTCTATCAGTAGCTTTGTCTGTAGTAGGTGCTGCATTGTAAGTTAGATTTATGCTTGTTTCTATCAATGTAGATTATCTTTAATCTCAGTTAAATTTATTTTTTATCTTTTTCCAATTCTTAGAACTAGGAAAAGATGAAGAATAAGTTAAACCAAGATTAAATTTAATCTATGTTTAATCTATGTTAATAGAAACAGATATTAGAGTTTTGAGTGGAATCACTTAAATTTGTATTATACAAGTCATTTATTTATCTTTTCAGAGGTATCCATACGACGGGAGTGTCTATCGTTGGTGGTGGTGTGAAAGCACCTAGAATCAAGACAAAGAATTTGATTTCTGTGATATTCTGTGAGGCTGTGGCTATCTATGGCTTGATCACTGCCATTGTTCTATCTGGAATGCTTGACAAATTCACTTACACAGAAGCTTACAAAAATGAAGAAATCAGAAGTCAGAACTGGTTGTCTGGATACTTAATGTTTGGTGCTGGTTTAGCTGTTGGCCTCGTCAATCTTTTCTGTGGAATAGCGGTTGGAATCGTTGGTTCTGGTGCGGCTCTCGCCGATGCGGCTAACTCTGCCCTTTTCGTAAAAATTCTTATAGTCGAGATTTTTGGTTCTGCTATTGGACTCTTTGGTTTAATTGTTGGTATTTATATGGTAAGTGTTCATATGGACATGTTACGAATACAATTGGAAATATTCAAGACTATGTAACTAAATATAGCCTCAATGAACATATTTTCATATTTTTGTTTCAGACATCCAAAGTGAAAATGGGCGATAAGCTATCATAAATTACGAGAGAATAAGTTATGGAGTATTATCGGGATCACAATGTTCCATTCCACATTTAGTCATCAGTAAAAGAGATTCTAGAGGAATGACTGCATATCTATAAAATCATTGAGATCAGAAGAATTTTCCAGATACCAATACGAATTTGGTATATTGCATGTCTGTAATTATATTCATACAATTTTAGGTGACATAATTTAACATCCTTTCTGTGTCTATAATTGTGAATATTGTCTGTTATATTATTGGATGCTATCATTCTACTTCTTTTGAAACATAAAAGTGGCTAAGATCAAATGTTTAATAGGCTATAATTTTTATCGATGTTAGAAAGCAACGTAAATTTTGTTAAACATTTTGAGTGCGTTATAGCGCTCACTTTTGCATAAGTTAATATGTACATATTTTCTTGTCAATGTAAGTAAAGTATGTAATACAAAGTACTATAATAATTTATCCTCTGTATTCTAATTGTATGTATCTACTTGTTAGCTAATTAGTGGGAAAATAGTTGATTATAAAAATTAACATGAGAGTTATCAATCCCTTCAAAAGTACTAAAAATATTTATTTAACAATTGTATAAAAATTTTCGAGCTAATATCAGAGGCAATATTCGTCATCATCATTGCTTTCTCTTTAAGATTCCAAAGACGATTTGTGCCTACCTCTGATACAACATGATTATAAACATTCTCTTATAATGTACAATATTATATAATAACTCAATGATCTCGGTGAAGATACATCCAAATAAAGATGTAACTAAATGTATGTATATAGCAAATTACACAACCATAATGCTTGTCTTATGTATGTAATACATCATGGATGCTCTTGAATGCATATTTTAGCGCTTGCACATATTGACTGGCGTTATGACTGCCTTCATAACTCACTACGGTTGAACCCAAACGTTTGTCTTGGATCGTATATCTAAACAAATACGTATTAGTTCTGTTTAAAAATTCATCCAAAGATACAACAAAGTACTAACAATTATATCATTTTCAGTGTTAATAGCAACGTAACACGAATATCTTACCCAATTCCATAGCCGTCAGGTACCACTGGTCCAAATCCACCACCCAATATGTCTGGGCTTGATAAAGTAGATGTAGACAATATATTATGATTTAAAGCATCGTAAGCGGAATCTTGAAAAATGGCTGACTTAGTGAAACCCGATTTCTCTGAAATTTTTCTCAAAGCGAATAGATGCCTATCAAATCCCTGACCTATAAAATATTTTATCAAATATATATACGTTCTTTTTATAAATTTGCTAATAATGATCAAACTAATTACCCATTACAGCCTCTTTCGTAAGCACGTTGTGAGTTTTACTACATTCAAGTATCATCTTTTTTAGCTCTGATTTAGAAAGCTCGATTTGCTTCTGAGTCATAGCGATACAAATCGCTTTAGTCTCTAGTGTACAAGGTCTGATGGTTTCTGTTCTGCCGTGTTTATATGCAGCTGTGCTGCAAGATTCATAAGTTGGTACCGATTTGCCTTCTAGGGTATACAATGCCAACTGGAATGCCAACTGCATCATGGCATCTGGACTTACCCCAAGCTTCTTACACTGATCCTTACCAAACTCTTCATCAACCATAAAATCGACGCACAGTCGATTCACCCATGCTTGATAATCTGCTTTTTGCTGATCGATGATACTTTTGCTTTTCGCATCTAGAGAGAATTGTAGTCTCTCTACGTTTACGTTTTCTTTAGAAAGATCATCTACTTCATTAGGATGAAATCTAGGTTTTTTCGATATATCGGCTTTCACATCCTACAAGATGACAAAGATTTTTACATTTCTGGTTCTCAAATGTTTAAAGTAATTAAATTAACGATGCTTAATATGCTTGAAGCTAAAACAATGTGCTCACTTGGAAGTATCTGAGTACCGCGACACCATCGCCCCATGAATGCTCAAAGTTGATTCCACCGTAGCCATCCTTAGAAACAATAAGGGAAAACGACTTGTCAAACCATCTGTTTGTACCGTCTGTGTGTAAATATGTTTTAAAAAGCTTGTAATAGTCGGTACCAATAATTTCGTCATCTAAGATCATTACGAATACAGCTGAATCGATTTTCTGAAGAATTTCTCGATTCCCTGTTTCGACTAAATGTGAGCGTGCCCGTGCCCAATGATCCCTTTCTGACGATGTAAGAACGCCTACGGGATATTTATTTGCTGGCCTATCATCTTCCAAAATGGTTTTTAGGCACGCAGCTATCTCTTTAGGACTACGAATGGAGTCGTTTGCATCCAAAACGTCGAACGCGTAAAAATGACCCTTCCTCAGTACAACCAAATGCTTAGCTGAGGGGTCATGAAAGATTCTATCTTTTCCTAACTCCGGTATTCTAGTTGTATTGAACAGATTCTTGTATTGGGACATATCTAGTGGAAAAGCCTACGATAAAAAATTTTGTTAATTTTTTTACGAATTTCTATTTTTTTATTAATTTATCTTAGAGTATTTGGCATAATCATTTCGCTATCTCTAATCTATTCATACCTTGAACAGATAAGCGCCATACCAGCTAAAGCGAGATGGGATCAATCTTGTAACGTTGCGGAATAATGGAGTGTCTGACTTGTCAGGTTTCATATGAAACACCTCTGGCTCCAGAATGTTATTCTTGAGCGACTTTAAGAATCTCAACGATGATACGACAATATTTGTCGCTTTTACTAATTGCGCATTATATTTCGGATCAGATTCTGGCACGTAAATTAAGAAAGGATTATAATTGATCGGCAAAGGTTTGCGATCTTGTAAATACATATCGAACCACAGTTCGCTGATGTAACTGGTGTGTGGATTCTCTGCATTATGTTGGAGTAACAGCTTTTGTAAACTCTGTCCCTCACTGGTAAGGAATTTTGAGATGTAGGACGATGTGTTCTGTAATTCCTTCTGATTCAACAGAGGTTTCTGCGCATTCAGATATCTCCTGCACGAGTCTTCAAGTTTTGGTATCGGTAAACGAGGTAAGGATGCTTGAAAATGTAATGTTGGAATTTTGCTCATCTGCATAAATTGATATTCAGTGGTGTCGTATAAAACAGCAGTACTCCTGTAAAACAAAGACATATATATATATATATAATTGATATTCGTTTCTTTAATTAAATACCTGCACAACTTAAACTTTGAACTGTTGAACCTTATCTTATTCGAATTGTTATTCAAATTATGACACTCGAACTGCGTTCTACTTGGCGCTTGCAATGCTTTTGGAATCATTTCGTCCTTGTTTATTAAATATTAAACAAAAACAAATGATATTCGCGAGCGTTTTGAATATCAAGGAACGCATTTTAATTATACAGCAGATAATTTCATAGTAATGATAACAATGTAAATTTCAGAGCCTAAAAATAAGAAAATATAATACCATATATGACTTTCTACTACTAAAAATATATAAAAACATTACTACCTAGCTAATCGCTGTGTTAACGCCAGTCCTCCACGGTTTGTCTGTAATGTACATAACAAAAAGAGGAAATAGGCAGAAAACGTCTTGTCTTAAAAATTAAACAGTGAAAATATATACATATGTACGATTGTAGGTATGTCAAGCAAATTATAGTTTACCATAAATTTTTGAAGTCCTCTTTTTATCGTTATAAACATCTTGTAATCCTCCTAACTCAATTACTTTCGAAAACGCAACAGAAAAAAAGGAAAATTCACACATCAAATCAAGAAATCAACGTACGCAAACTGTTCTCTATTAGTCTACTACTGTACTGTAATAAAAAAAAAAAACTGATCTATCAGATGTGAGGTTGAACTACACTTGCACCAAAACTCTCCGTCTCTTTTTATCGAGCAGTCGCTAGAGAAGGAGACACAACGAGACTTGTAGAAAGAAGAACTCGGTTCAAGTGCAGTCATACTCCACGATTTGGAGCATTTTTGCTTTTTACATTTGTTGACAGAAAATACACTTCTTTCTGATGACTTTCGGAACACATTCGATGTTTCTAAAAAACAAAGAATATATAATAATAAAAACGAACTATGAAATACTGACCTATAATAATTTATACCGACCGTAAATTTTCTCATCAGCTGGTATTTTTAAAGTGTTTTAATTCGTAAAAATTATGAAAAAAATTTCCATCAGAAATATTACATGTCGCATAAGTTTCTTCACATTCTGTTTAATAATTAGCAGTTAAATTAATAGATTCAGAATCAGATCTATCAAATCTATCATTGATAAATTTATTTATATTTAACAAAATAAAATTTAATTATTTGATTGCGCAGAAAATCAAATAATCCATATGCTCCTTTTAAAAGAAAACATCCATATGCTCCTTTTACTTATTATTTTGATAGATTCAGCTCCAAAGCAACATTGTTAATTTCTTTTGGACATCCCTGGTGAAAATTTTTCTCAGAATTTTTCATGTATGTTAATTATGAAATATCGTAAAATTTCCAAGACTTTTTATAAGTATAATTTCCGATGAAATGTTATAAAATTTAAAAGATTTAAAAATATTTTTTTTAAATTATGGGATGAGAAATTTCAGAATATTTCAGAAATCACTCGTATGAAAAATTCTGAGAGAATATGTAAACTTTCCAAATATATTTCTGAGTATTTCTGAAAAATGTTCCAATTTGTAAAAAAATTATGAGAAAAATTTTCGCCCCAGGAATTAATCACGATGCGATCCTGTAAAATCTCTTGAGAGGGCGTCGAACGAATTTTCCGCTACGCGGTCTACCGTATAAAGTTATAAAGCTGGCGGATCTTCGTTGGCGCATCGTCGATGACGGCGACGGTTGACTGGTTGACAGCGGTGGTTTTCAGTCGCCACTCGCCGCGCCAGTCACGGTGAGAACGTTGTTTCGGTGTCCGATTGTTGCGGTGCGACGTGTTGTGACAGACGTAATCTGTCGCGGCTACGTAGAGCATCATCGTCGTCGCCGTATCGCTATCGCAACCAGAGAAACACGACCGCGCAACAATGGCGATGGGCAAGAGTCTCCGCGTCTACGAAAAGCTAGATTCTCCCAAACCGCACTCGGTCATACTCGAACAGCGGGGCCGCAAGGAGACGCTGCTCTTCGAATCGCAGGCGATCGCAGTCCTTTGTAAGTAACGGGCCAAACCAAGCGGAGAGACGATCCGCTCGCGGACGCAAAACCGGCGAGGTCGTGCATGGCCAACCTGTTCACCTTATCCCGCATCCTCCTACACTTCTTACATTTGAAATCAAGCAGACACGCGTTTCACTTGCGAGAAGACACTCGTGCAAGTAAGATATCGTTTAAGGGCAACCGCATTAACATTGTGACAGCTGCACGCTGTCGTTAAAATGTGAACCGGAGCTCTGCCGTTCCGCTCTGTATCTTCTTGATCTTGCATCACGGTTGTGATTTTGAACCATAAATCATAACTCATTGCTATACATTTTCTTTTTATTTTTGTACAAGTCCATAGAGCACACTTTATCCAAGGGACATCCTTAGTCCTTACTCCTTAGAGAATATTCTTAGAATAGTAAGATGTTCCTTGAAGGTCTATATAGGATACATTGAAAAGCCTGTTCTAATTTCCATGTTTCCATTCAACTGTCTTTTAGAACATAGTATAACAGTCGTATGCAACAATAGCATTTATATCGTTACACTTTAAAAAATATCGATGTAGATTTAACACTATATGGTGTCTATGTAATTCTCATGTAAATATCAATACCAACATAGTATTGATATAAATCCTCAGTGTTAATATCAATTATCCCAAGAAATACACAAAAATCAGCAAAAATCAAGATGATTTTATTTTGATTTTTAACATCAATAAATAGTCAAATTTTGTAACCAAAAGTCATTATTTTTTACTTTTATAACGTCAAAATAAAGTAATTTTGATTTTCTCTTGATTTAATGTTTTCCTTAGGATGTTGTGGATTTGAAATCTGATGTTAATATTTACCCAAAATGATGTTAATATTCACCAATACGGTGAAATATTTTTGAGAGTACAATTTGCCAACCGAAAATTCTCATGAATATGCGTTATTTACAGCCGCAGAGGAGCACGAGTTCCTAAAACCGAAATATACTAAATTGTTGGACGCGTATGGATGTCTGGGTGTTCTACAACTGAATGCAGGCGAGAACACTCTGTTATACCTCGTTCTGGTTACCGGATGTTTTTCCGTTGGAAAGATCGGCGAGTCAGAGGTCTTCCGAATAACGCAGTCAAGTTTTGTACCTCTGTTTTATAGTCAAGGAATGGAGGATCGCGTGTCTGAAGTCAGGAAGGTCCTGAATTCTGGAACGTTTTATTTCTCCTGGTCTGCTGGACAGAAGTCGCTCGATATTACGTTGAGCGCTCAGAGAAGATGTAAATCTACGACTACGGATAATAGGTTCTTCTGGTTAGTAGACAGTTTCGTAAGACCTTTACAACATGAACTTTTATAATAGAAAGTTTAAGGTTTAAACAAAAATGATGTATCTCTATTTGTGAAAGATCCATCGGACCAAAAAATAATATATCATCTCGTCAATTAGGAATCGAATGTTGCACATTCATCTATTGAGATACGGCGTAGATACGAGTCAATGGTTATTGAAAGCAATGTGTGGCAGTGTGGAGATTAGAACCGTCTATGTTGGACACAGACAAGCTCGAGCGGTACTCATGTCTAGATTAAGTTGCGAACGTGCTGGCACTAGGTAAGATCATTTTTCTCTCTTTGATGGAAAAGTATAGCTTTTCTTTCTATTTGAAAGAAAGAGAAAAGATAAACAGTGCAAGAAAAGAGTTCAGTAAAAAAAAAATTAACAAGCACCAATAGACATTTTTCCTCACAATATCAAGAATTATCATAGTGCTTGATAAGAGATATATCTCGCAATATACATATAACATATATATGAGTAATCCATATCGCATATATGCGCTGCAATGTAAAATAAAAGTTTATTGGAATATATAGCTTGATTAAACTACGGTGTATCATTATTAGACTTCTGTTAAAACTTATGTTGAAGATTTCTGTTAAAAAATTCTATTAAAAATATTATTAAACTTTTATATAAAAACATGATCATTTGTCCAGATTTAATGTTAGAGGAACTAATGATGACGGACACGTGGCGAATTTCGTGGAAACAGAACAGGTGATCTATATAGACAACGAAGTGACGTCTTATGTTCAGACGAGGGGTTCGGTACCACTGTTCTGGGAGCAACCTGGTATACAAGTCGGTTCCCACAAAGTGAAGATATCACGCGGCTTCGAGACTTCCGCGCCCGCCTTTGACAGGCATTTAGATATGATCAAAAAGCGTTACGGTCAGCAAGTCATCGTCAATCTTCTTGGCTCCAGTTTGATCGGCAGCAAAGAAGGGGAAGCAATGTTGAGTCAATTGTTTCAAACCCATCACAATATGTCGGAGCACAAAGACGTCCTGCACATTCTGTTTGATTATCATCAGGAGTGTCGCGGTGGAAACATGAAAAATCTGTCGAAGCTAAAAGCAAAGGTCGAAAAGTACCTGGAGTCGTTTTCGCTGTTTTATGCTGTCGGTAATACTGTAATTCTTGAACAGACCGGCACCATCAGGACAAATTGTCTGGACTGTTTGGACAGAACAAACTGTGTGCAAACGTTCTTCGCACTCGAGATGCTTGCCAAACAGATGGGTTTGTTGAAACTGATGGAGAAGCAGCAGATGGTTTCGAGATTTGAGGAAGTGTTTCGTCAGATGTGGATCAACAATGGTAACGAGGTCAGCAAGATATACGCGGGTACTGGTGCCATTCAGGGCAGTTCTAAGCTGATGGACGGTGCGAGATCGGCAGCTAGAACGATACAAAATAATTTACTGGATTCCAACAAGCAAGAAGCGATCGATATCCTATTATTAGGTTCAACATTAAATACAGAACTAGCTGACAGAGCACGTTTATTGTTGCCATCCAACATGTTACATGCCGCACCGAATCTCTTGCGAGAAATTTGCAAACGTTATAACGAGTATGTGGATACAATGAATCTCAGAGTGAGCATCGGTACTTACAACGTTAACGGAGGCAGGCATTTTAGAAGTGTAGTTTATAAGGATGTATCCCTAGCCGATTGGTTATTCGATTCGCCAAACAGATCTTCATGTAAGTATCTTCCTTCTAAAAACACTGAATCATAAAGTGTACAAAATAGACGGAAATATTTTGTAATGACTCTGTATATACACATATCGTGAAAGATTTTTCTTTTTATAATCCATAATTTTTGTATTTCTTTTCAGTCTTAGCATCTCTACAACAGGAAGACAATGTTCCTGTGGATATATTCGCGATAGGATTCGAAGAGATCGTCGACTTGAATGCCAGTAATATTATGGCCGCCAGTTCGGATAACGCCAAGGCTTGGGCCGAGGAACTGCAGAAGGTGCTATGCAAGGACACAGAATACGTTCTCGTAACATATCAGCAACTGGTAGGCGTTTGCCTCTATCTATTCATACGACCTGTACACGCACCGTATCTGCGCGACGTGGCAGTGGATTGCGTGAAAACGGGATTGGGAGGCGCTACCGGAAACAAAGGCGCTGCAGCAATTAGATGCGTACTATACTCCACGTCCTTTTGTTTCGTGTGCGCGCATTTCGCCGCTGGCCAGTCTCAGGTGAACGAACGTAACGCTGACTATGCCGAGATCACAAGGAAGATAACATTTCCTATGGGTAGAACGCTGAACACTCACGATTACGTATTTTGGTGTGGTGACTTCAATTATAGAGTCGACATGGACAAGGATGAGATGAAGGAATTGATCAAGCAAAGTGAATTGGATCAGATACTGCAATACGACCAATTGAGGGTATTATGTCATATTATTGATCCGAAATTAACATTTCTTTTATTTGTTAATGAATCATATAGAAAAAATGAACAAATTTTATCGTTATAATATTGAACGTTTAGTTGCTAATAATATATCTTTTATGAATCTTTTAATTTCAAGGTTCAACAAGAACAGGGCAACGTCTTTAAGAACTTTCAAGAAGGACCCATTACTTTCGCTCCTACGTACAAATATGATTTGTTCTCGGACGATTACGACACCAGCGAGAAGTGTCGTCAACCTGCATGGACAGACAGAGTTCTTTGGAAGCGTAGGAAGCAAATACCTGATATTGGTTGGTTTTTTCTATCATACGATTATTTTTAATCCTATATAAAGTATACATATAAATATAATCCTATATAAAGTATACATGTAAATATGATTGTATCAGTTTAAATGTACATTTCAGACTCGCCTACAGATTGGAATCTAGGAAAGTTGGTTTATTATGGTAGGGCGGAATTGAAGCAAAGTGATCATCGACCGGTAATTGCCACGATTGATATAGACGTGCACTGTGTCGATCCCGAGAAGCGCGAGTGCGTGTTCAAAGAAGTGATACAAGATCTGGGTCCTCCCGATGGCACGATAATAGTCAAGGCAATGGAGGATATCGAGGATATGGACAGCGTGTTCGATAATAATCTTATGTTCGCGCTGATACAAGACCTATCTCACATCGGCGAGGCAATTCTAGTACGTTACGTTGGCGAGACTATTTGGGTGACATTCAGGGATGGCCAGTGCGCCCTGGCTGCAGCGAAGAAAGGCATGACGCAGGTGTGCGGTCAAACGTTAAAATTATCGCTAAAATCACCTGACTGGGTACAGCAGATCGAAAAAGAAATCGAAATCTGCAGCAACACTACAATCGCTCAGTTCACGGCGGACTCGCCATTGAAAAGTCCCATGCAACGATTGGAACAATTGGAGATTACCGAGCGGCCGTCTCCCAGCAGAGGCAGCCCGAATGGCGTAATCCCACCCCCAAGACCAGCACCACCGGGCCGACCCTCCCAGCCACCGAAGAGTCCCGCTCACGAGCGAAAGCAAATACCACGAGCGGGTGTCTTCAGCGTGATTCCCAACCAATTCGCGCGCCCGGTGACGCCACCGGTTGCGGATGCGATGGAGGATGATCGACAAGACGAGAGACTTTCGCCGGATTCGGCCATATATGAGGAAATACTTGATGGATCGCCCAGCTACCCCGTACCAAATCGACCACCGCCGCCTTTACCACGTATGGACGGTCCTCAGGAATCATTGAGTAGACCACCGCCCAGCTCGGTACCTCCTCCATTGCCGCATAGACAAGCCCCGCCGCCTCCGCAACACCCACCACCGAGTCTACCCCCATCGAACGCTCCACCACCCGTTCCAGCAAGAACCACTGGTGGGCCGCCCATTCCGGCCAGAAATCCTCACTAAAAGAGAAATGAAAGAGTAGATAGGATGCATAAATGGGACATAAATCCTATTTAGGCCAGACTTCCGGTACGCTTAGCATTAATCTAATACGTGTGATTATTTATGAGATTAAACGACAAGACGACAGTAGTCGGCGAGTCTTCACTTCCAAACTGAGTTAAACTAAGTAATTGCAAGTCATTTCGATCTCTGATCGCGAGCATAATTAATTATAGTAAATTTGTACTCGTAGATTATTCTTGAGCTTATCGAACACTGTATTTTATATTTCGATATGTTGGTAATATAATCGTGTTGATCTGTTTTCACGATGACACGAGAAACCATTGTTTTTGCACCGAATGTTTAAAGTGGCGCGAATGGCTATTGTTTCAAAGATCCAATCGATTTATAATTGTTGACACAGATTTAAAAATGTATATTCAAAGCCAGTTGAAATCGTTGTAAAATTGGATATATCACGAACACGTTAATATAATCATCAGAGTTTAAACAGCGAAATACTTGCAGTAATAATGTTATAGTTGTCACTGCTTGTATTATATATTAATAACTTAAAATGTTAATTCTCAATGTTAGAATCACTTTTAAGGTTTAGGAGTCTTCACGGTATCTTAGTAGCGTAAAAACTACCAAAAAAATATGTAACTAAGACTCCGAGGAGCGAATTTAATTTTACAATTAATCGTATGTAGCATGGTATAACAGAAGGAAAATAGTAGACTCAAACACAACAGTATTCTCACAGATGTAAGGTAAGATATTTCTTATAATTGCCCTGAATTTCCTCTTTCTTGCACGCGATGCGGAAAGCGGCTAATTCAATTAATTTAAGGTCATCCTGTAATTATGTTCGTTTATATATCTCTTTTCTCTAATTTCAAAGTTCCTATTTTTTTACATTCCATCAAAATTTTTAGAACGTCCGTCCCAACGGGTCCAACGCCCACCTATATTTCTTTCCTAACGCATCGCAATTTTTATTCTCCAGAGAATACAGTATCATGTTTCCTATCATGATACAAATGTTCTATGATTTTGACTGTCACATTATTTACAGAGTAAATAACGAATACAAATTAAATGAAGAATAGTCATTACGTAAGCGTCATAATTTACAAGAAAATACTGACATGGCAGCCAAAATGTTAATTTATGGGTCTTTTCCAACAGGTTAAACACAGTGTCATACTGTCACGTTATTACAATTAATAACATTAAGTTTGTTTGCGTTGCTTGAAATCCCAAAAAATTTTTGCACTTGAGATAAATATACTTCGGACGTGAAGAAAGAGAAAGTAAAGATGCCGAGTGCAAAAAGTATAAGCAACACGAACAGACCTATTATTATATATTCACCTGCAAAAAATATATAATTTTTGAAATGTTGATAACTGAAACATTTTGCACGCTTTGATTTTTATTATTATATTAACACGTAAACGACTAACAACAAAAATAAAAAGCTTTAAATTGTGATGATTTGTCAGAAACTAATTAGAATTCTATCTATTTTAAAAAATATTGTACACGACTCAGCACGGTGTATTACCTTTGCTGGAAAATACTCATTATAAATTGTACATATTCCTATTTAATACCTTAATTTTTATCACCTCCAGCTCAGTTAAGTAAAGGTGGCTCTAATCGCGGGAAAGTGGACGTATACATATGTGTAAATTAGTATAATAAAATGTATAGCCAATATAAGAGAAAATTGTTTCCGATGTACACTTATATTACATGTACGATACGGGTTTTGTCCTGCACCTTGGCAACACACATTTCTTTACGCTTGCGTGCATAGTTGATGCGTTTTATCAGTTAGATCGATCCTCACCTATCTGTACAAGATGTAAAACATTGGACATGTATATATGTATTGAATGGTCTAATAAAGAGATCACTCGGGAACGGAGAAAGCGTCGACTCTTAAAAAAGAAGAAATTTCATTTATTGATCTAAACTGTGTGTATATAAAGAAATTTGATTTCGACTTGTCTCGTGTACTAATGCTAACGTTGTCGTTACGTCCGTTTGGCGAATCGAGGAATGAAAACAACATCCCTCGGTTTTATTACTTATTAATACGTATATATATAAAAAAAAAGAGAAGCTTGTACAAAAATTTTTCTCTCAAATTGATAAATATATACTATAAAAAAGATGCACAGAGAGCTGTGTTCGGTGCCCATCATGATGTTGAATTTCTATTTGTCATTATAATGCAAGTAGATATGAGCAGAAATATGTTTTTACTTAATACGTAATCACTTTTAGCTTAATAAATTATATACAAGGAAATATCACTAAATTAATAGTTATTTAGGTTAGTATAGTTAAATTACATTTAGAGGACAGAAACAAAGGAATGTTTCTGATCTTAATCGGGAGTATAAGTAGACGATACGTTATATATTTGACATTATCGCCTCGAATTTTTTTTCTTTTTTTCTTCCGCGCACTGCCAGGAAAAGCAAGTTGCTTTCATCTTTTACAAAAAAATAATGAAAATTTTTATTAACTCAAAAAGAAATAAACATAACAATAAGGAATTTTAAAAATACTTTTTAAAATATAATCTATTTAATCAGATCAATATATGTATATGTTAATTAATTTTTAAAATAATTATTACTTTATAAATAGTGCATAAAAAACATTCTTGGCGACAACGCGAAATGCTCAGTCATCAGACTGAAATATCAATTTAACTCCCAAATATAGAATACTTTGTTCGTAATTTGAGAACACTTCGTTGTCTAATCGTTGAATGTAAAATTAATAAGTTAAGGATTGAGTAGCACATTTATACTAGAAATCCGGATGAATTTACGCAGAATTTTTTACAAAGAATATTTCATTAAAAACTATAGAATCGAACAGAGTTACATAATACCACGATTAAAATATTTCAAGAGCCTAATGTATGTTTGTGTATGTAAATAAAATCCTCGCATAATATATATTTGTATTTACGGATACATCTCTCTTAAAACTTTCGATCAGTCTCTTCGTCATTCTCTAATGCATTCGCGAAGATTAATGAGTCATCAACGTATTAAGATATATCCCTTCTTTTTCGATAATTTACTGATCGAGTATTGGAATGTTTAACTCAGTAATCCGCAATTATTCAAGTTGTTCTTGATTATTACGTCGGTCACGGCGTCGAACACAAACTGTATATTGGACGTGTCTGTTGCGCACGTAAAATGCGTGTAGATTTGTTTCTGATCCTTCCTCTTGTTCAGATTTTCGAATTTCATCTGGATATAAGAGGCGCACTCCTCGTAAGTGTTGGTGCCTTTATATTCCGGGAAGCAGATAGTGAGCGGGCTCCTGGTGATCTTTTCTTCGAACAGATCTTTTTTATTCAGGAACAGTATGATAGATGTTTCGACAAACCATTTGCTATTACAAATCGAGTCGAACAGCTTCATCGATTCTATCATGCGATTCATCTCCTCGTCCTCTGCTAATACCAGGTCATAGCCGCTCAGAGCAACGCAGAAGATGATCGCAGTGACGCCTTCGAAGCAATGTATCCATTTCTTTCGTTCAGATCGTTGACCGCCAACATCAAACATTCTACAAAGAGGAAATAATATATTATATCTTGAATTTTTTATATAGACATAATACAATTTCTTTTTTTATGTATAATAAAATTTTATCTTGACAATATATATATATATACGCTTATTTATATAGTTTTGTGTACATATTAAAATAAATTTTTCGTAAAAATTTCTTATAACGCACATTTAGGAATAATTTGTTCAATGATTAATGATTAATAATTCATAATTTGTTTAAAGTAAATTAAAAAATATCTTTAGATAATAGTAGGCAACGTACTTAAAATGTAAGCCCTTGAAAGAAAAATGTGTCTCCACGATTCCAGTGGTTTTGACGCGCGTTCGCAGAACATCCTGCTGTGTTGGAACATAATTATGTTGCGTTATGCGGTCAAGTGCGTTAAGGTAGTACGCTGCCGAATCATTGAGCTGGTATTCCCTGCTACGCGAGAAACAGAGCTGCAGTCCCGGGTCCTGCCATAATCGCTTCATTAATAGCACTAGTTCCCCGGTAAGCTCGCCCTCCTCCGCCGCCGATGCTAGGGTGAAAAATTGTCGCGCCATATCCTACAACGCAAAACAAGGCCGATTATCTAATGTGCCAGTGGGGCACGAGAAAGTTAGCGAAGTGCAGTTAATAATGTACGTAATGTCATAGACTGATGTAAAAGATTTGTCGTCTACCATACATTTCGTAAATAAAGTTATTCTTTCTGAGAAATTTTTTTTTTTAATAAAATTAAAAAGAGAGCTATATTTTCTAAACGAAAAAGTGTATCGAAGATAATGACTATCTTAATAAAAAAAAAATTTGAATAGAATTTTGCATACAATTTTTCTTAAACATGAATATTTCGTAACGATCCAGCAGAAAGACGTGCAGACTTACCGCTTTACTAGGCTCAGCAAAGTCGAGTCTAAGGTCTCCCATGGCCCTGATTATCGTCATTAAACTTTGTATCGTGTTGCTGTATACCACAGGAGTGTATTGCTCGCATTCCTCTTTACTGTAGCCGGTCTCGTGAATTATTTTCATTTGCTTTACTATCGTAGATTTGCCAGACTCCCCAGCACCTTGAATTTAGATATGCATATATATATATAACACGTAAAACAATGAAGATTTAATAAATATGTTCAACGATCATATATGTAATTATACTGAATATATCATACTAAATATTATTGTATCAAACAATATCAAATGTAAATAAAATATCATGTCACATTGAAATGATCAAATATCGTGACCATGAGATAGAGAAATTCTCGAGTCTTCCTTGACATAATTAAAATCGCTGTCACGCCGTGCATTGTTAACGCCGCAATTCATTTATCGTAACGACTCTCTATTTTTGAATCAATGCGAGTCTATGCGAAAACGCTCACAATCGGCACATTGCCAGATATGTAATCAATCCAATTAAGCGATTAATCATCGGTGTCTTTGCCGACAAGTTTTGTTCGATTAACGATCAGTTCCGCCAGTCATCGCAAAGACTAGTACTCGTTTTCCCCTTCCAGGAAGAGTAATGTTTTTTTTTCCTATAAGCGAGACGAAGATAATTCTGCACGATCTCAAAGAGACGTAATCTCGTGATTCACACGCGGCCGATGATTCAAGTTTCCCGTAACGATGCATGCGTTCTACATCCGCACATTGCGCGATGTCGGTCAAGAATCTTAAAATTTTTTTTAACACATTGACAATCCTAAACAATACTGGATCTTTAGTACTATTATTGAATCAGTTACATCCGACATTTGACGACAACGAATAATAAATATTGAAGTAAATTCGCGTAATTAAATGTATTCGTAGCGTATTAGACGTATATATATAGGAAAAACATTTATTCTAATTTACAAATCTAAAAACATGTTTGCAGAGAAATGAATCATTTGAATGACACATAATCATTTTTTTGCAAACATTTTTTAATTCCAGCTCTTTAAATCCGAATGAATAAAATTGCTTTGAATTTATTACTTCGATGTCTCGGACAATGCACAAAAAGAAGTTTTATTGAAGTATTAAAAAGTTTTTAGCTAAACAGATCAGAAAATAATTGTGTTAGACTCCAAATAATATCAAAATAATTATATAGGCTGTTTAAGCTGATTGTTAGAAAAATTCTTGAAACATTGCCCATCGTGCTTAAGTTTCCTACATAATTATTTTAACAGTCCAACAAAATTACTTTCGGATCTGTATCTAGTTAAATATTTAGATATTTCAGTAAAATCGTTCTTTCCATGTGTGATGTTGATTTCTATAATCCTTCTGTACGTCTAAAAGCAGGATGTACGAGTGCATACAGTCGATTGTAAATTCTATTGTTAAAAGAACGCTCCCGTTTCGGGGAACGGGTAATTTCTCTTTTTTTAAAAGGATTCGCATAGCGGCAAAGCAGACCGCGGATTTTGGCCGACGAGAGAATGCGACCGAGAATTAAAATAAGCGTATCGCAATTTCGTGGCCGTCTACGTTTTAGCCGTAGAAGGAACGTGAAATGTGACACACACACGCCACTGCGGGAAGCGCTTCGCGAGAAAGAGGGACGCCTGTGTTCGTGCGATCGAGAGCGTGTTAACCGAAAGGCACCGTGTCGCGAGACGCTAGGAAAGGAGTCTCGTCGCCTGGATTAGGCGCAATATCAACCGTTGCGTTTCAGCTCTTTCTCTCGTTCCCTGGCACGCAAGTTGCTTGCTCCGTTCGACTAGTAAGACTATAGGACTCCAGGGAGAGACGGGGAGGAAATTGCTGGGGAAGCTCGGAGCTCGGTGACTCTTTTCCACAGGATTCTTTGCCCCTTGGGTAAGGTGAAGGATACTCCGAGGTTCTGGAAGGAGAAAGAGGAAAATGTCTCATCATCAAAGCAAAAAGAAAGGCGAGCGGATTTACCATGGATTGGAAGAAATATAATCTCACCAATAGATTGTTGCGGTTTCTCTTGATTACAATCGGTTGATAAGATATTTGTCTGAAGTCGTATCTTATATGTTATGACTATTTTCTTGAGATTACCAAAATAAAAAAGATACATCACAATAATTAGAGAAACGAGAAATAAACGCTGAATAAGGACAGATCTAACAATAATAATTCTCTTCCTTATAGCGTTCGTGATTCAGAGAGGAAGAAAGCGAAGAGGAGGCGTGATTTTGCGGATCGTGGGCTACGCGGCGCCTTCGGGAGCGTTCGGCGGGTGCGTGGTGTGTCCGATACGCGATACACGCGCGATACGAGACAAGACGATGTGCGAGGAGAAGGAAAGAGGGACGACGGAGAAAGAAAGAAAGAAAGAGAGAGAGAGAGAGAGAGAGAGAGAGGCTGAAGA